TAGACCGAACTCCTTTTAACATTTACAGAGACCCAACAGTACCACCATGAGCAAGCACACACACCGTGTGCTTCACTGCAGTCAACGACTGAAGTAGAAATAAATAATTAAATAAATGTTAAAAAAAAGTTTTGAAATAAATAAGTAAATGTAGAAATAAATAATAAATAAATAAATGTAGAAATAAATAATAAATAAATAAATGTAGAAAGAAAGAAAGAAATGAAGAAATACATAAATAAGTAAATCTAGAAATAAATAAATGTAGAAATAAATGTAGAAATAGATGTAGAAATACATTAAACTGCAAATTAGCAGCAAATTAATCTGTGCTTTGATTTGACCTTTGAACTCTTTGATTCTTTGAACTGATGCATGATGGGACTGTAAACTGTTCCTTTAATATTCAAACGGCCTCATTATCGTCCATCAAACTGCGTATGAGATCTTATTCTTTCTACTCTTTGGTGCTTTTCTTTTGTAGGCCATCTTATTATAAAATGTTTGAGCTTCCTTTGTTGAGTTTATTTATTAAATTATCACAAAGCAAACATGGTTCAGGGAGACAACAACAAGTTCAAGGTGTCTCCAGATTCTCCAGATCTCGATCCAGTCTAGCGTCTGTGGGATGGGGGACAACTTACAGGAATTAAAGGATCCAAAACACCTTCAGAGGGCGGTTCTGGTGGCAGCAGGGCGTAATATATAGGGTTATAACAGTCTGATATAAACTTAATGCAAAATATTTGTAATTTCCCTATTTTAAAGTGTAAATCATGTCAAATATACTGTAAAACTAACAGGATATCTTAATAAAAAAAACATAAATTAATCCTCATTCACTTGAATTAAACTAAAAAATGAACTTTGAACTTAAATGTGTTTCTTCAAGTTGACTTTATATCGTTATTAAAGTGTTCATAAACCATCTTAAGCACAAATAATAATTAATAATAATATTTTATAATAATATGTAGCTGTTTTGAGAAAACTGAGTTACTTTTACTCAAATCAAATCACTTTCATACTTTTCTCAAAAAAGTACTCAAACACTCAAAAAATTTGAAATGGAAACTTTATTAATTTACATTCAAAATATAATTTTTTTCATTCATAGAAACAGATTTTATATTTAATTGCTGCTTTTTATTTCTTTTGTTTTCCATCATTACACTGTTTTTTTAACACTTTATAGTTTAAATTAAAGGTACAATATGTTATTTCTCCCTTTTTATTTACTCATAATCAGGATTTTTACTCAACATGAAGTTCTCATGTTATTTTATGATTTTACTGACTTTCATACCAACTAATACAAACATTATTATAGTAAAAAGTATAAAAAATATATAAAAAGCACCAGGATCTAAACAGTGGATGGTAAAAATGTAGCTTCA